ATAGTATGATATAGCGACTAATATCTTGGGGTTGGTGACTTATCCCGACTATTTTAGCAAATCGCGAGGTCTCAACCAATTGTGGTATAAAGATTCTACGACTGACGCCGAAGCTAAAAACACTGGTTTTGCAGCTAGACATGGTTACATCATCGTAAAACCTACAATCAAAAGAACGTTCTCATTCACCATTCCCTTACAACACATCTTTGGTTTCGCGAAGAATTATGACAAGATCGTGTATGGATTCAAACACGACTCACACTCGTTCAAGACTCTGATGCAAACACAGTGTTAAGAGCAGCAGCGGCAGATCCAGCAAAAATCGTATTAAGTAAACTATCCTGGTTCGTTCCTCATGTGGTCCCCTCCAAAACAAAATAAAACTATACAAAACAATCCAAAGTAAAAGCAGAATTAACTGTTTCCGCATTAGATAGTGCGGTTCCATATCCGTCCCCCAAAGTAGAGAATTTACTTGGCGACTCTCTGCCGAAAGTGGACGGGATAAGCCTAGATACTTCATCGCCGCAAAACCGAGAAGGGTAACTATCAAACTCATAACGCAGCCATGTTTGATCACTATCAATTACAAAATATCTATGTCACCCTGAATGCTCAACGTTATCCAGCCGTAGACTTCAACACCCTCTTCATCCAGTGTCAAGTATCTAGGGTGTACAAGGAAGCCACTGAATTTCGTAAAGTTCTTCAACATGGATCATTTCGTTAGCAATAGTAACATCAACCCCTCCGACTGTATAGACCTATACCCTTTGTGCGTCATCGATGTGAGTCACCAGTCTGAGAAGCTGAAGGAGTCTGTGGTTGATATTAAGATCAAGGCAAAAATCGAGCGGAATGTTGAACCAAACACCGAAGCATTTGCACTAGTTATATCAGATATAGTTCTTCAGTTCGAGTCCAACGGACAAAAGATGAATGTTGTGTTGTAAATAAATGGATAATTATTTATTACAACAAATTGTTGAGAATACAGCACCCAAGCATGGGTTCTCTTTCAGTGTATCTGCTAATAACAACAAAATCGATACCCGGTTCAATCCACCCATTCACTTAAAAGATGGAAAGAATTATGACATGGCTCTGGTAAACCTGGAGACTTACTACTCTTTCCCATGTATTCATGCAGGAAACATCATTTTTCGTTATTCTAATGATAATGGTGGCACCTGGTTTGGTATTGCACTGAAAACTGGCTCTTACTCTATCGAAAACCTCAACGACACGTTACAAAGACATCTGCAACTCAACAAACACCCCACCAAAATCAAAATCGGTGCCAATCATAGTACACTGAGGGCAACACTTACTTTAGCGTAAAATTAACAAGTCGATTTTAATGTCGACAATAGCATCAATACAGTGTTGGGTTTCAACAAAAGAATTTACACATGATGATCGGGCCACAAACGTAACACAGAGGGTGAGACCATTGTGAACATCATCAGCATCAACAGCATTCTCGTCAATAGTGATATCATCAGTGGTAGCTAAGTCAACGCATCACAACAATCCACCATCTACAATGTATCCTCTGGTATGAAAAACCCCAAAAACTTGATTTATTTACCAGTCACACTGAAAACGACCAATCGTATGACTACTACTATAAAGGACCAATACGGAACTCCTATCGATCTGAGAAGTGAACATCTAACCATACGTTTTCATCTACGTGACACATAAACCACCTTAAAAAAGAAACGTAAATACTATGAGTTAATATAGAATTGAAATGTAATTGGTGCGTTTCAAACATTGATCATGTGATACGGTGTACATGTCCCATCGATAAGGAGTATCCATCCGATTTTCACACCCTTTGGTCGTGAATACAAACTTGACATGTGTAATTATATTGCAACCAAACCCCCCCCCCCTTTTTTTGCTCATTTGAATGTTGTTTAGCCTTCACAAACACAATGCTTATCAGTGCAAATATGTAAAATCTAAACAATTATTGTTAGAAATTTATCGAAAAGTACATGGAAACGATAATCCCAAACCCTGTTGTGCACAGCATAAAAGTCAATTAACGATGTTTGAAGGTACTATGGAGTATTCCGAATTTAAAAAACAATTCAAAAACATTCTTATAGTGATTATAACATAGAAGAAGATAGGGTTTTACCTCCTGTCGAGTTTATTGTATGGAAACGACAAGAGGAACCTATTTAATTGAAATAAGTTTTAACGTTTTTTTTTTTGTTTGTTTTTTTTTTTAGGAATTGGACCAAATCCCTGTTCCCTAAAAAAAGAAATCTTCATTAGGTATAAATAAATGAATTATCATAGTTATGGTTTAAATTTGAAACAAGGTCAAATGAACAAATTACAAAAAGCAGCAAAGAATGGTTGTACAGTCAGCATCAACTTATCGCAATCTAACAGTATTATCCAAACGTATTAACAAAAAAAAAAACAAAAAAAACAAGAAAAAACACATAAAGATAATGCACATCTTATCAGAACTTCCAAATCCAAGATCGAAGATGCTGCCAGTAAGGATTTGGATGATGATGAAATTAGTGACATAGAATTTAGTAATATTCTTACATGTTTAGACTCTTACTACGATAAAAAAAAAAAAAAAAAAACACATACGACACCTGAAAAAGATGTATCGTTATATATATATATATATATTAATGCATTTATCCGGCGGGTTTGTTGGATAAAAAATTAAGGTTTTTATTTCATGAGCTTTTAATATTCGTTTTAAAAATCCGTATCCAAAACGACTCATTTTATTCTCTTGTGTAAAAAGAGTGTAGGGATAAAAATATAATGTTTCTCTCATAGCAAATTCGAGAGTAAATGGTTAAATTTTACTCTTTCCTTTTATTTGGATTTTTTACTTTAATTGGTAATAAAAAAATCGTATCCCTTTTTGGATGTCAACATACCATAACTTACCACAAAAATCTGTCGATTTGTCTTTATCATTATCAATTCCTTAGCCAATCGGCTACAACTCCATACTCTCGTTATTTCCTCCTTCCGTTTTAAGGTTAATAAAAAACACTTACCAAATTTGCTTTAAAATTCTTTCATTTCAATAATTTCATACTTTCTCGATTGAGATAAATCATTCCTTCTCAAAATTTTCATAAATGGCTGGGGTTTAGTCAATCGTTTCCTTAATAATTCTCTTTCTTCTCTCGTTAACTCACCTTCGTGTCCACATCGTCGTCGTTGGTAATTTGTTTTTCTCCAAATCAATGTCTGTTTTGACTTCCGTAACCAAAAGGTTGTTGTTTAAGAATCTCATTGTTTATATTACAAATATTTTATTTTATTTTTGATTAAAAAAAATTATCTCGCACTCCTATTTGAAAAAATCTCAATAATCTCAAAAATCACAAAGATTAAATTTGTTTTTCTAAAAATTACATTTTTTTGTGTTTTTCAATTTTATTTCATTAAATTTCATCTCTTACTCATATTTGAAATTCATTTTTACCATACATTTTAAGATTTAAAAAAATCAAACATTGCAAAAAATTAAAAATTAAAAAATTGAAAAAAAAAACACTTAAAATTGAAATTGATTTACAATCCCCCTTTTTACACTACTGCCACACGACCGAAACTTGCAGTCGACTCGTTATTGGGGTTATTGCCCTTAAAAGATTATCCATTGTTTTTAGTTTTTGCCTATTATCTTGAAACGTATACAAAATACAAATATAGTTAGAAACTTTAAAAAGCAAAAATGATCAGCCGTACAAGATCTATTGATATGTCAACTTGACTGAAATTGTCAGTAAAATTTTCATAGAGTTATTGCCCTTTCATAATGATTTTTACAAAAAAGTGGCTATTGTTTAAGATGAAGGTAAGCGACACAGGCTCTTTGCAGCCTTTAGTTGCTTTTAATTTTCATGCATCCCCATTTGTTAATTAAACTTTGTCATAACATGTGTTAAAATGATTGGTGTATTAACCGTTTTCTTTCAGAATCGATTAATATTTTAGTCTCTCTTCTTTCAACGTTTGTTTACCTTTTCTTTCATAATGGTCTTTCCCTCACACTTGTGCTGTGTGATTGCCGAGGTGTCATTGTTAAGTTTACTTCATACGGATTAGCTGTTGGTAAATTAGAAACGAGAAGACAATAATTCAATAGCAGCTCATTTCTGAAAATTTGGAAAAATAGTGGATTTTCTTTATAAAATATTTCTATGTAAAGTAAAACTTAGCCATTGAAGTATACAAAACATATTCACTTTTTTTAGATTAGAAGTATCATATGACCTTAAATCAGGGATTTTGTTACCATAATTTATTGAAATTATTTCATATAGTAAGATATGGTTTTGTAGTGTGGCTGTTTCTGTAGAATTCTTATCAAAAATTGAATATCACTTCCTTCAGACTACGGTTATCCTGTTTATAAAGTACGTAAATTAAAACACGATCCATGTTAACCTATTGATTATTTGAATATCTTTTTTAACACCGTAGACAGATGTTTGAATATAGTTTTTTTGTTTTTTTTTTTATCTGTAATGGCATTGATTTTGCTTTTGATAAATTAAACATAACTGAATATGGATTCCTTTACATTTATGAAAAGTTATGGTCCGACATCATGTTGATATATTATACCTAAGGTATCAGTATGCTATGGCATTCACAAGATCATGCTTTCTAAGACAGTTTATGATGTCTTTACACTAAATCCATTGGATGTGTACTTATTGGAACTTTAGTCTAGAAAAGCATGATTTATTCAGCAGTTGTAAGTGTCTTTTAACTAACTTTTAGTAACTGCGAGTACTCTTAGATCGGTACTTTGTGTCTTTTGTCTTCATGTTAGTTGTTTTTGTTTGTGCTTCGTGCCCATCTAATTAGTTAAGCATTTCTATTTTACAGGTACATGTAGTTCTTTTTTTATTTGTTCCTGTTTTAAAATAAAGGAAAAACAGTTATTTTCCAAACAAATCTTTTTGTGTTTTTACAAATGTGATATTCCTCTACGATTTTCCCTCAATGCATCTCGTTTACAAAAGAAAATATGATAATCGTTACTCTACACAAGAAACTCGATTCGCACTTTCAATACCCTTATGTATTTATGCACATACATTATATACTATTGATAGGTTCTACTATTCTTTATTTACATCTGTGAAGAATTATCTTGGATGTTGATAAAATTTAATGAACGTCAATTTATAGAAATATTTGAAGTTAACAGATAATATTTGGTACGAAACAAAATGTCGTACTACATATGCAATTGGTAACTCTATTATAAAAAAAGTAAATCAACATGTATAAAAAAAATCTGCACATGTCGTGACGGAACTCTGACATATCAACAAAAAAACAAACAAGGAAAAAATAAATACGTCCAATTCAGATGATAGGAGGTCATATTGCTATTATCAGCTGGTTTTATGAAATGAAAACTGGGAATTTACGAAACGAAATCTATTATTAATTTGTCCTAAGTAGATCATCACAAAAATGTCAACTTCACTGTCTACAGAATTGTAATTTGCATGATTTTGCTTCATATAGAATAGTTACTGTTACGGGTTAAGATCGCAAGGTCTTTGAAGCATCTGACCACCTTCACGTATCCATTTGTTACCAACTGAAATATACATAAAATATTCGCCATTAGATAACTATCATTTATTCGGGGCTATTTTTTTTTTTATTTTTCAATATGTAATAGATTAATAAATGGTTACAAATATTCTGACGTAATTCAAAGTATGGCAGTTTCCGCGCATATTTCACTACTCTGTTATGATCGAAGAAGTCACGACTATTTCTTTGCAAAACTTTAATTTTTTAATATTTTTTTGCTTGTTTCAAACAGTAATTAAGTCGTTAAATTTGGACGGTGTAACATTTTACTGTTAATAGTTTTTTTTTATTTAAGTTATATCATACACGGAAGAACATGTTAAACTGTTTAATGTTTCGAACGCATCGAATTTATAAAGTGTAGTTTTCAATTTTTTGCATATATTATTTTATTTCATACATTAGTTTAGCCATTAGATTTGTGTGGTGTAAATTTTGACTGTGGATAGGTTTTCTTATTCAAACAGACATACATAAACTAACGGAATTCATTAAAAACAAACATTCAGAAGTTGCACTTTGCATTTATTATTAAAACGGAAGCGACGTCATAGTTAAAAAATACGGGAAACAATATTTAGTTCTCCATTATAACCCGGTGTCATGAAGAAATCCAAACAACAGAATAAAGGTATAAAAGCTGTATAAATGAGATTATGTGGCCCTACGGTGACCTATAGTTGCTTACTTCTACGTCATTTGGTCTCGTGTTGGTAGCTGTCTCATTAAAAATCATACCATATCTTCTTTCTTTTTTTCATTTAAACAATATTATGTCTAGAATTTCCTTCATATATATCAAATTTCGTGAGGATCATTTACTAGATTATGAAAAGCTTACTCCATTTAGAACCAATAACAACGGGACATCCTGCGTGTAATACTCTGTGGTCATTTTCTCCACTAGGTAGTAAATTATACCAGAAAGCAGCTGAGCCCTTGAAATATAAAATATATATAGATCAACTTACTAAACAGCTGTATTTAGCTATGTTAAGTGCATGCCCTACTGATGTTATTAACTACACCAAACAGAGTTAGTACTGCCAAAGATCACTTTACGTGTGATGTTGATTATCTTAACGTTTGTCTTAAACAACTTCGGTCATGTAAATACAAATCAATGTTTCAAAAGCAATTAGAAGATGTTTCAAATCAGAAGAAAATAATTATTTGGTGGACAAAATGTAAACCAAGATTCGTAAACTGTAACGGACCCCAAATATACACAAATGTCAATGAAATATGGTGGTAAAAGGTTTCTTAAACCAAATTTGATTTTTTCAACATGCTCTAATTAATCAAAACCTTTACTAAATTCCTTCGTAGATACAAAACTTTTCCTAAAAAAACATTTACTGGGTATTTTTTCTTTATACTTATTTTAAGTAAGTATATTACTTACAATTACTTTCTATTACTAAGTATTACTTACTATGCTTCAGGAATTACTTGAAGTTACTAAACTAATATTTTAACTCTAAGTAAAATGTGAATATTTAAAGTAAAAAATAACTAATTAAAAACTACTTCTGTTTACTAGGAAATTGCTACTTATTGTCTCGCCTGCGACGAAAGTATTACTATCCGGCGGCGGCGGCGGCAGCGGCGGCGGCGTAAACTATTTGTTTAATACTTTATATTTCAGAAGGTAGAAGACCTGGATGCTTCATACCTTGTATGCAGATACTTTATGTTACGAAGTTTCCGTCTGTCATATGCCCATTGTCCTTGACCTCATTTTCATTGTTCAGTGACTGCTTGAAAAATAATTACAGTTTTTTTGTCATGTGAATTTCTCACTTATTATGAGTAATAGGATAACTATGTTTGGTATATGTGTTCCTTGCAACGTCTGCATGTCCGTCAGACAGGGTTAACCTGACCTCGACCTCAATTCATGGATCAGTGATCAAGGTTAAAGTTACGTGATTAGGTCCGTTTCTCAGATACTACAAGCAGCAGGTCAACTATGTGTGGTGTATGGAATGATTGTAAGGAGTACATGTCAGACTGGCAGGTTTCATCTGACCTTGACCTCATTTTCATGGTTCATTGGTCATTGTTATTTTTTGTGTTTTGGTTTGTTTTTCAAGTACTATAAGCAATAGGTCAAGTATATTTGGTGTATGAAATGATTGAAAGGTGTACATGTCTGTCTAGCTGGTGTCATCTGACCTTGACCTTATTTTAATAGTTCATTGGTCAATGTTAAGGTTTTGTGTTTTGGTCTGTTTTTCAAGTAATATAAGCAATAGGTCAACTATAATTGGTATATGGAATGATTGTAAGGTGTACATTCTGTCTAGCCAGTATCATCTGACCTTGACCTCATTTACATGGTTCATTGGTTAACATTAGGTTTTTGTGTTTTGGTCTGTTTTTTTCAATTACCATAAGCAATGGGTCAACTATATTTGGTGTATGGAATAATTGTAAGGTGTACATGTCTGTGGGACAGTTTTTATCTGACCTTGACATCATTGTCATGGATCTTTAAAAATGTTAAGTGTATATGTTACTTGTAGTAAAACCTTTATCTTTAAGAATTTCAACATAAAATCAATGGTCAGTTAAACAGGCGAGACATTTCAGCGTGTGCACTCTTGTTAATTTGCTTTATATCTATTATGTACAGAGAATAAATAAATAATATGTTTACGTGATTTAGCTTGAGTAAAAAACTAATCGTGGTTATATGTTACTGACAATTTTAAAAGTTCTATTATAAAATGTTTATATACCATGAATATTTCACTTCCACATATTTGATATACAATGTAATGAAAATAAGTTGGTGTATACGTCTAGTGGCAATTATTATATTCATATCAGGACGCGTACATGTTAATTTGATATGAATATGAACCGTGCTTTTTGAGACAAATACAGAACTGTTATTTTGAACTTGCTTGTTAAGAAGGGTAACAATAGTCGCTAGGAATTTGTGTAAGACATGTAACTCTAAACAGACACATTATTTGGCTTCTATCCAACCATGAATTCTTTGTTGTTATTTATAACTACCGCTTACTCCGGGAAGAAGCAGCATATACACATGCTTTTTTTAAACTGCTGGGGAGTGAAACATCCCATACCTTTGACAAGCATCCTACTACAAGACCATTAACAATAAAAAATGATTTCCTGCCTTAATTACATGTACTTGGAAGTAAATTTTACTAGCGTTTGATTACTTGCAATTTCTTCGGATATTACTTGGAATTACTTGAAATAATTACTTTTGGTTTACTTATAACTACTGGAATAATCATATTATTTAAAAGGTGTCATTTGTCATGTTTTAGTAAAAAAAAAATATTTACTGGGTCTTTCTAATAAAGTCACTTATTTTGGTTATTTTACTTTTATTCTTAAAAAAAAATTATGAATTCCAGTTTTAAATAGTACTTGATTGGAATTCAGATTAGGAAATTTAGCCGATCAGAATCGAGCTTTCATTCGATTCGAACTTCTGTTAGCTGTGTTAAAAAATTCCAGGAACCCATTTAATATATATTATATTTTGCGTGAACTCATGAGGGTTCACGCATATAAATTAGTTAGAAATATAGTCTATGGAGGAATATTCGGAAGCTAAATTATTGTTCATTCGGAACACCTATTCATCTTATCTGTATTAGCTTCCTGCAATTAAGAGCACCTCCTTACGGGGTATCTAAGATATTTAAAACATGACAATAAAGAATTTTCACAGATCGCTAATTCACTTATCTGATATATGATAATAAGCAATCTATAGATCCTTTTCAAACATGTATATTTATTGTAGAGCTACATTTTATGTATTGCAAGGGTTTACTGACTTGAGCAAAGTTGACAGTTGTACCCTTTGATAAACAAGTGAAAGATAGATGGTCAAGATTTAATTATAACGACCTATGCATATGGTATCAAACATCTGTGTCTAAATATTCACAGAGAGATATTTTAAAATAGTGCTGTGGCTTCTACATAATGAGTTATAGTGGGCTTTGGGATTTGATTTGTAACAATAAAATCATTATGCATACTTGTCATTTTGACAAATCAGATAAAAAAAATCTGTTTCAACTGAACATAAAACAAGTAAAATATTAAAAGACTATTCGTTAATATACATTTTTTACAACTTTTACTGTTTCCTTTTTACAGTATTCTCTATCAATTAAGTTATCTTGTAAGCTAATTAAATGTTTATTTAATTCATTGATGTCACTATTATTTCTTATATTATTCACACACTGTAAATTAATACTTTTAAATTTATGTGTGTTTTAGATGTGCACTTGTGATTGGTAAATATTGATAGTTTCTGTGTTTTTGTCTCGCCTTGACGGAGTCAAAAAGCGAGACATAGGTATGCTGTTTCCGGTGTCGGCGACGGCGACGGCGATGGCGTCAACAATGTATTAGTTTGTGATTAGGTCTAGTTCATGGTGAACCACTAGTGGTAGGTCAATGATATTTGGTATGCAGTTGTATTAGCATTGGCACATCTCATTACCCTGGAGATTATTTGGCTCCACCCCCTCAGTCAAGGTCTATTGACTTTGAAACTTTCCATAGTTTACATGTATTAGTTTGTGATTAGGTCAATTTATGGGGAACCACTAGTGGTAGGTCAATGATATTTGGTATGTAGTTGTATAAGCATTGGCACATCTCATTACCATGGAGATTATTTAGCCCCGCCCCCTCAGTCAAGGTCTATTGACTTTGAAACTTTTCATAGTTTACATGTATTAGTTTGTGATTAGGTCAATTTATGGGGAACCACTAGTGGTAGGTCAATAATATTTGGTATGCAGTTGTATAAGCATTGGCATATCTCATTTCCATGGAGATTGTTTGGCTCCGCCCCCTTAGTCAAGGTCTATTGACTTTGAAACTTTTCATAGTTTACATGTATTAGTTTGTGATTAGGTCAATTTATGGGGAACCACTAGTGGTAGGTCAATAATATTTGGTATGCAGTTGTATAAGCATTGGCATATCTCATTTCCATGGAGATTGTTTGGCTCCGCCCCCTTAGTCATGGTCTATAGACTTTGAAAATTTTGGTAAGTTAACATGTATTAGTTTGTGATTAGGTCAGTTCAAGGAGAACCATTAGTGGTAGGCCAATGTTAATTGGTGATCAGTTGTATAAGCATTAGCACATCTCATTTCCACGGAGAATATTTGGCCCCGCCCCCTCAGTCATGGTCTATTTACTTTGAAACTTTTGCTTAGTTTACATGTATTAGTTTGTGATTAGATCAGTTTAAGATGAACTGCTAATGTTAAGTCAATGATATTTGGTATGCAAATTTATTGGCATTTGCAAGTATCGTTTCCATGGAGATTATATAGCCCCACCCCTGATCATGGTTCATTGACTTTGAAACTTTTACATAGTTTACAAGTTAATGTTTGTGTTTAGGTTTGTTTAAAGGGAACGACTTATAATAAGTCAATGGTATTTGGTATGCAGTTGTATTAGCATTGGCACATCTCATTCCATGGAGATTGTTTAGCCATGTACCTTCAGTCATGGTTCATCGACTTTGAATATTTGCATTACTTACATGTTAATGTATTGCTATTTTAATTTCAACATTTGCATTATCAAAATTACAAAAAGGCGAGACATATCTCTGTGTTAACAGTTTATTAATATACGTGACTTAACATCAAGAATTCCATTACTATGGAATCGATCACCTTTGTACACTTCGGTATCTAAATAGAGGGTGGTAAAAAAGAGGGGGGGGGGGGGTCTGAACACGGAAACACGTGAAAGAACAAATCGCAAAAACGTTGCACGGAAAAAAAACACTCTGGAAAAACGAAGCCATGCAAGAAATAAAATCGTAAATATTCAAGAAAAAAGTACCAAAAGTTATTACTCAACCGTTCTTGGAGATCATGCAGTCATTATAAATTGACATGACGACCCTGCATGTGCTCACTTTTTAGCGTCCTCTATAGCTAGTTGCATACGATTTATCATAGTAATACAATAGGCTATATATAAATATCTTGGGACCAGTTAATTAGTTTATGATTTAAAACAATATCTGGGCTGACTTTGAATTAGTCCCGGTTTACTTTTTTATCAAATGCGGGACAAGCACGAGAAAATAAGAGTACCGACACGAAACACGGAAAATAATTAAGGAAAAACACGAAGCACGCACATCGAAACAAACACGAGAAAACGAGAAATAAAACGTTGAAACACGAAATCACGTGAAATTAAAAGGCCGAAAACGTTGCACGAAAATAACCCTTTACCACCCTCTAAATAGGTCATACTAGATGTCGACACCTCATATTAGAACTAATGTAGATGGTCAATTTCGTTTGCAAGATTAAAGAAATCTTCAACTTGCTCTAATTTGCCTGTGAAGACCATAAAACCGTCATCCCTATTGACAGTGTAATTTGATGTTTTCTCTCCATTGGAACTTATCTAAGATTTTAATGAATAGGACAGACAGATGCAGATCTGTGCATGTTGGTGAAAATATACCACTCAGTCATGAGCGCTCCTATAATGTGTTTGTATAACAGTCCAGTAAACTCAAATTCATTGTTTCTAAAAATTAATTTAACAAATGCAGTTATATCTATTTTGTTGAGAATCTTTAAAGTATATTCTCCTGTGTGTCAATTAATTCTAATGCATAGATAACAGTTTCTACTACATTATCAATGATCATATTTGTGTACCTTCACGAACATCATAGGCAATAAGAATGCATTCTTTTTTTACCTCGTGTGACTCTATTTTATCAATGAAATCTTTTTATCTTGAATGTAAAAGTTATGCCTCTTCAATAATGGTTTTATAATTAGATCAAGTAAATACCTCTCGCGGGAGAGTTGCATTAATTGATGATTGGTCGGTAACGAACATTAATGTGTCCTGCTAGCTGACCAGTTCGCAATGCCTCATTACTTATTTCTAGATTAATTTTATGAATGGTTGGAAGAAGGTACATGTGTCCCCCATGTTTTGAATCATTATTATTCTTTAAGAAATTATACGTCTGGGGATCTATTTTTTTCCTCATTGCTTTATATTTAACACTTCTCTCAACATGCCAAAATTGTAATGATTTACAATAAAAAGAAAAATATTATCCCATGCAAACACTGATATATAATTTCTTATTCAGTTGAATTAATAATTAGAATAAAAAAGTTCTTAGGTTCACGGATTGTCTTTTTTTTTTTTTTAAAAGCAACTTGTTTTTACTTTAATTACTTGAACTATTACTTTGAATAGCTTGTACTATTACTAGTTATTACTTATGAAATTAATGAAAGCCTTTTTGAGGATTTCATTTCATAGACATATAAGATGTGTACCACTTCGACTAACAGAACTTTTCAGCAACCTAGACAGCATGGAGTTTGGCGCATGAAAAGATAGTTGCCCATTGATTCCATTTCGGATCGATGAAGTGGTTTTAATGTGTGTGTATTTGTGTATGTGTGTAGTTGGAAGTATAAATCTACTGGAACTCTTTTGGAATATATAAATATGTTCAATACGTAATCTTGTACACAGTATTTCCATTGATTTTACTATATTAATTTTCCCACGAGAAGGAAGGGTAAAATTATCCGCCTACTTTTTGTTGACACTTAATCTGAATGACACTTGCAATTGCAGCGCGTATAAATGACCATACTTTTGCTAATTTATGTTTAGTTTGTATACCATTTTGTGTGTGTTTTCCCATGTCATCTCTATTCAGTCCAATTCAATCATGCAATTAACTTTATTGAGTACATCTTCAATATGAATTTTTCTACTATTTTCTCAATGCATGTATCTTTTATCAAGCCTTGTAGTGAATATTTCCTTTAACCATTTGTTTGTTGTTTCACAAATTTCAAATGTATTGCATTGAAAAAGAGATAAAATTACGCCAATGTATACATGTACGACAGCTTGCAATAGATATCAATTAACTTACATGTATGCTATAAGAAAAATGACATAACAACCAAAAGCTATGGTTTTTGTTAATACTATAACTTAACGCAAAATATATCTGTCATAAATCATCGGCTTACCTTTTTAACCGGAACTCTAGCATTTACATTTGGAAATACTGTGGCTCCACCTACTTTAACGTCATTTAACTGAAAACATGTAAAACAATATACGTTAGATAACGTACACATTTTTGAGAGGATTTTTTTCTTCATTTTATAAAACAGAAAATTAAATTTTTATGGAAATTTTGGGTTGAATCAATGTTTAAATTCTAGTATCGTAGATAAATCATTTCAAAATCACCTGGCTTTACTACTTTAATACGCATGGCGTCCTCAGTATGGGAAAATTTAAAACGATCATACATTAATATGTAAATACTTACATAGAACATCCAGGTCGCTATTCTGTCACCTGTTCCTATCAATTCGAGTGGGTCGTTTTTGTTTGGCGGACCCCATAATGGTTTTTCCTAAAATAATTATAAGTTGATCAGGACAATATGCTGATGTTTTCTCTATATCTCTTTGCATAGTCCCACATATTTTGATATCAATTTGTTCTGTATCAGAATGCTTCCAGATAACTGTTTGCTATGAAACACTCGAAAAAATAATTGTGTTCAAGTAATTTCTCTCGTACAATACCGCTTTGGTCTATAAACATCGTAATGGGAAAGGTCTGCACTCAACATTTTTATATGTCTTTAAAAGGCTTTTGCATAAAGCACTTGTTATATTTAACGCCTATATATGAGAACTTGTGTAGACTAAATTGTCCGTTGACCATGTATTCTGCTGATTTATTTAAATAGAGGCATTGCAATTGACACAACTTCTTTTTCACTTGCACAGAATGTACCTCAGGCAGATTTATACTTCGTCATGTTGTCTCCCCATTTTAATATTGATGATACTACGTGATGTTTTACGTTTGTAGATAAGCTATAGAGATTTTATACTTTTAAAACAATTAACCAGTTAAGCAAGTAAAGATGAAAAAGTACATACATGTATCGAATATTAAGATAAGGAGATGTGGTATGAAGGCCAATGACACAACTATCCATGCACCAGCGACCAAAACGACGTAGATATGAGCAAGTTAAGGCCACAGTTCGGCCTTCAACAATAAGCGAAATTCATACCACACATAATAATTGAACGTTGTTGGTGCTCAGCTGATAATAAATCAAATTTTGCATCATATTATAGCTTTATATAAATTGCGGCTAAATCATTTCAGGAAAATAAATAAGATGACATTTATCGAAGAAAAACTATATCTTTTCAACTTACAAATGCATCATGGTGTGGGTGATACATTCCTCCTATTCCATAATTAACTATTTGATAAGCTTCTGTATTGCTGAAACGTGGTGAGGATTTTGTGGCTAAGCCTGTTAGTAAGCCAACTCTGTGGGTCGTTTTTTCAGCTATTCCAGGTCCATCATACAACCAGGCTCTGAAATTAGATAAAACTATTTTTTTTTCATTTATTATCATATCTTGTAGATCTTCCAATAGAAAAAAAAATGAAATTAGGACTAAAACGAACACTTAGAAAACAACACAAACAAAATGCAATTTAAGAAAGTAAATAACCAACAAAAAAATAATAAAAAGTCTCCTAGAAAATACCACCATGTCTATGAATTTATCTTTTTAAGATAAATAAGCTTTCAATTGTTCACCCTGGTATTATGTAGTATTGGTGTTTGCTTAACGTCCAGTGCAAAGATTTCATGCAGGACAAGTGGTTTTACTTAAAGTTTCGATTTTATTTGAATATATGTAGTAGGTTTAGTCATTTAATTTTCTTTGCACACATTTCTCCTGGTGCAAAGATTTAAATGCGTAAATATCACAACGATTTCAATAGAAACTATACTATTAACGAAATAGCCTTTAGTTCCACCGTCAACAATACTTTGTACACTTTATAAGAGATCAGAACTCAGAACAAGCAAATGCTATAAAAGGAACCAATGCCAAACATTGCTGAATATTCTAGTTTGAATATAATATTGAAGAATAATTTACTGTAGTTCTGATCTCTGAGTTTAAACGGAAATAATCTGTTGATACCTTTGTTCTGATTTGGTGACTACATCACATACTATATGGAACTTTTTTCTTTAAAATTTTAGTAATTTATTTTCAAGTTATATCAAAAAGAAACGATAGGTTTACTCTAATATTAAAACACAATTACATTAAAATGTATCATAAGGACTCCATCAATTACGCGGAGTTGTTGACTTTTTTGTGTCATAATAAAATGGAAGACGACACATGCTCACCATAACACATATAAAGCGAAGGAATTTTTGCAGTCAATACAACATAAAGTCCTTAGCCAAGACTATTTATTCAGACACTGCCCTCATCATTAGTAAATCACATATACACGTTAACAGGAAATGCACACGAGCATATCATGACTACATGTACTATGATAATGTAAGAATGTCAATGTCAACTGCTAATCAAGTTGTCGGATGCCATGGCAATCAGATTCACGCCATAAATGTTTCCAATATACTGAAATGCCAAAGAATTGGTTACAGAAAAAAAATGTTAATCCCTAAAGTTTAAACCGAATAATTTTCAAAACACATTGCAATGGGTGGGACAGAGGCCAAATCAGAAGGTATAACACAGAACTCAAAACTGGTTGACCTCTCTGCCAATCACTTAGGCGTTGGTAACAGGCAGTCCTTGCCTTCGACGATGACAAATCCATTGTCTCCGTGTTGAAGACCGTACTTTGACCTATAATGGTTTACTTTTATAAATTTTGACTTGGATGGAGAGTTTTCTCATTGGCGCTCATACCACATCTTCTTATATCTATATAAGGGAAAAACCAGGGTTTCAGTGCATACCACATGAATTTTAAACATTAAACATGACGTAACCAATTAAACTTTTGAACTGCAAAGTTTTAGGCAATAAAGTAATGAATTAAAGTAAGTCCGTTAGTATATGTGAACGGGGAACACATAAACGGTTAACAAGGTACACATAAGAATATTTTGAGGGCAAAATTTTGAATAGAATCATATCGGAAGCATTGAATAAAATAGTCATAACGTGTCTTTAGTTTACATATATACATTAGAAAAGAATATTTATCCTATGTTGATCAACACAGCCTATATCCTTATGAACCATTCAACTGTATAACAAAACGATAACATTTTAAACAAATAGAATAAGTTTTATTCGCATGAACTAAGCTGACTCTACCTATGCGTATATTTTTAAAGTTTTTTTTTACGTTTAGACATAATTAAAGCCAGAAAATAAACTGAACAATGTTTACAGTATATGCCAAATAAGGTTAGAAAAATACATTAAAATGTAAAATGTATTTTAAAATATCAGCTGCAATCAAAAGTTAAGATTTTTTATGGGAGATAATTGAATCAACATACAAAATACTGGATAGCCAAACAACAAAGGCTAATCCTTCCGCATTGGAGTAATTTCTTTATCAAGAAGAATTATCCTTATCGTGTAACGTAGTCACATATCATGTCTATGTGTCATCCTATTCTATTTAGATGTATAGAGTACTAGCTTCAACATATATCTTATTATTCAAAAAGGACAAATGGATTTGACACAAGTTTTTTCAAATAAGTAACGTCTTCTACATAGAATATTGCTTTATATCAAATCAATGCATTTATAGCGCATGTGTTGTAAATATTACTCTACAGGCAAATTTGTCATGTGAATTTCTGCAATTTATATTTTTTTAGTTGATATGGCTAGATAATAATGATCGCGTTCCATTATTATGTAGAAAAAAAAACAAAACAAAAATGACACCCACCCACGTTTAAACCAGTGATATGTTCTAAGATATGAAATGAAGATTTAAAATGATGGGGGCAGTAAAATTACATAAATTGACAAATATATATATATCAATGTTAATCATTTTTAAGTTCAACGGAAATGGGAAAGAATAAGAAACTACGTTGAACCTATTGTGTTTTTACAAGTGATTGTTTTATTTTCCAATGTGGAATTACTGTGTCTCTCTTATTTCAGATGTGTTCCTTTTCTTCAATGAATCACAGTTTGTAGCTAGAATTAATAGAGACAAACACTGCTATTGTCAACCATGCCTGCAGATACCGATAATTCAGATTTTATTTTATACATATTTAAAATCAACTTGAACTTTCTCTTACGAAGCTTCAAGTTAAAATTGATAGTATTTCACTTTGGATGATTTTTCCTTTTTGTTTTTTTTCTTTCCTTTGTGTTGATGTTCCGTTGACGCCTTCATGTGGAGTGAACATTTCTCATTTGTTACGATATACAATTAATGCAATGACGTCTCAATTTCAATGAACGTGATTTTTTCATTACTAAAACAGAGATACAGATACCATAACCATAACCATACATCGTGTACACAAATTAATTCCCGCTTCTCCACCTAACGGAAAGATTCCACCGCAAAGGTAATAGGTTTGGCTGTATGGTTAAAAACGAAACACTAATTAAGGGGGTACCCAACACTATACCCCAAAAAAACCTGTCGTTTAATTTTTCTTGTTTTTATCTCATTGATAAGTAAGGCCTAGCTGGACATCATGTAAAAATTTTTAAAGATTTGAACCGTTGGTAAAAATGATATGGCCACCCAAATATGGCATGGGTCACATGGTAATTTCGGTCGATTTTTGAAGTTCCAGAAATATGGGTATAGGGATATACATGTTATTTTTTTTTATATTAAGCCTAAATTGACAAAAGCATAGTTAATAGTGATAAACCAGGCAATTTTGAGTTGATTTATACCCTTTATTTGTAAATGTTTGTTTCTAAATTTAAATTTTAGTCTGAAATAAAAAGGGGGTCTAAGATGAAGCAACCAAAAATGACTATGATTGGTCAAATATTTTTGGATACAAATTTTAATTAAAAAAGAATGTGTCGTTAATTTTTTTTTAAAAACTAACCATTTGTAGTACTATATCATTCTGTTATTCTCGCAAAAATATATAACAATTTAACCGTCAGATTGTTTTCAATTCAAGGTTAAAATATACCCCCACCCTCAATAAATTAGAGCAAGTTCCATTCTGATAGTACTTATGGGCCATAACTTTTTTGTCTTTTAATCTAGGCCTTAGATATTTGGCATGTGGATGTATAGTCATAAGGTTAAGTGTCTTGTATCTTGATGGCCTTCATGTGACCTTCAAATTTGACTTCAAGGTCAACTTAATGTATTTGTTTGCAAGAAACACATCCAGGCAATAACTTCTTTTGTCTTTTGACCTATACCTTACATCTTTAACATGTGGATGTATCATCATGAGGTGGTGTGCCCCTTACAGTTTTGACCTTCGTGTGACCTTGAACTTTGACCTCGAGGACGATAACTGTATTTTTGGCAAGAAACACTTGAGCAGGCCATGACTTTTGTCTTTTGACCTAGGCCTGAGATTTTTGGCTTGTTAATTCAATTCAATTGACTTCAAAGTTTTATTGAGAGTCAATATTTAGTTAACAAATACACAAGCTCTAATCGACAACAATAAAGACTCACATTATGATAATCAACAAATTCCATGCACACGGAATACATATAGGCCATGTAGTTACATAAAAAAATCAAAAAAGGTATAGTTTCTATTGAGGCGAAGTGTATACATACTTAACCACTCTACAGAATGTGTTTTTTATTTCACATATGGATTCTGCGTGTAAAAGTAAAAGTACACGAGATAATAAAATAAAAAAGGGAGATACGAGCTGTTGAAATTAACAGCATGAGACGCCAAAAATACATAGGATACATAGGGAAATTCTTTCAATCGGCAGATATTTTACATGAACACGATTTTCAGTTTTGTTGGTGTACAGATTTAAAAAGAAAAGATAAACGATAAAAAAATGAACGACGAATCCATTGGTGCAAAGAACCACGGCTCCTGAAATTCCGAACTAGGTGATAAATAAGAACCGAACGTGCAAGATCCTTATGTATAAGCATTAAGTTCATTAAACATATAATTTGATAATATTTCTGGTGAGGTTATGAAAATTAGATACAACTTGTTTTTAGTTTAAAGCACATCAATCTTAAAAATGCTATCAAAATGCGAGAGTCTTAACTCAACTTTTTTGATCTGAGCGTCACTGATGAGTCTTATGTAGACGAAACGCGCTTCTGGCGTATTAAATTATAATCCTGGTACCTTTGATAACTGTTCACCTCTCATTCTACGAAATATCAAACTGCAGTTACAAGTGTCACATTATTTTTTGGCCCCTTATACTCTATTCAGTGATAATCTTGAATTGAGACTTGAGAAGAAAACTTTGTTTATGACGTCTTTTTACTAAATCTATTGGATGTGTACTGATTGATTATGGAGTCTTAGATGCATGATTTTTTTTATTAGTTGTTATTGGCTGTGAGCTAGCTGTCAG